AGGTCGGAGTCAGTCAACAACGGAGACTTGTTGCTGCAATTCGACAGGTCCAGAAAAAGCTTAGAAACGACCTTCGAAAGGTCCAGGGTAAGCCCATCTCAGACAACTATGAGCTCGACGAGCCGCCTTTCACTTAGGCTATTTTAACCGTGCCGATCTCATCCAGGGGAAAACTCTCAAGCTTCGACAAATAAGATGGGTCTGCTGATCGGTGGACCACGTGGAGGAAATGGTACCGGCAGCTCGCGCCCCACTCATTTCCTTTTGGAAACAGCTCCGCAAGACCTTCATGGCCCAATTTGCGGCCCAGCAAGAAACTCAACACCCGRCTCAGTTCTTGCTCACGATAAGGCAGAAGTCTGGAGAGAGCCTAAGGGATTACGTCAGAAGGTTCCTCGCTATGCAAATTACGGTGGTGTGCAATGAGGAGTTCGCCTGCTCGGCATTTGCCTCAGAAGTTCGGCATGAACAATTGAAATGGTCTCTTGCCAAGAAGCCCAAGCTCACTATCAAGGCCAACATAAAACGAGCCAGGAAGTTCATGCAGGCAAGCGAGCTCATCTAGTCAAAGGAGGATCCTCCCAAAGTCGACCCTGCGAAGGAAAGAAGAGGTCGGGACAGCTCTAAAAGGTCGCCACGTAGCCACCAACGATATGATCACGAGCCTCGACGTGAGCAAGACCAGAGACGCGGGAGACCCGAAAGGTACGACCGCTTCACGCCTCTGAACGTCTCGGTAATCGAAATTCTCGCAAACATACAAAACTCCAAGCTCGACCTACTCACCGAGCCTAGTCTCATGCGTCGAGACCCTGAGAAGCGCAATAGGTCGAAGTTCTGCCGCTTCCACAAGGATCACAGTCACGATACCTCCAATTGCTATGAGCTGAAGAGACAGATCGAGGGCTTCATCCAAAAAGGGTACTTCAAAAAGCACGTGGGACAAGCTCACAACAGAGGAAGGAAAGAGGCAGCCAATTCAGGAGAAGGAAGGGCAAAGAGGGAGAGGACGCAATCTCCCACTAAGCGCACAGATCGACCTACCGTGATCAACATGATCTTCGGAGGTCCCAGCGGGAGGCAGCCAAGAAAGAAGCACAAGGCGCTGGTGCGAGAAGCCCACCATGAGATTTGTGCGAGCTATAAATCTCTCTCGATCAAGCTCTCTCAATCAAATTCTCCCTCTCGTTCCAAAGAAACGCTCCCACAAGCGTGTTCTCGAAACCCAAGAAGATAGCAAGGAAGATTCGGTGGTGGTGTTCGTCGGGAAATCGTTGAAGAAACGTTCTTCAAAGGTAAAGTTTTCCCCTGTGTTTTTCTTCTTAACCGTTTTGATTTTGTTTCCCAAATATCATGAACAACGGTCCGCTTCCGCTCTGGGATTCACATCCCTTCACCGCTAACGTCCCAGTTTCTCTACTTACCTTGCTCTGGGATTGACGCAAGACCAGCTCAGGTCAAGCCCCACCCCACTGGTCGAATTTGTAGGGGAGCCGGTCAGACCTGGGGATGCATCAGCCTTCCAATAACCCTTGAGGAAGGAAGCACTCAAATCTCAAGGATGACGGAGTTTGTAGTGGTTGAGGCCAGGTCGGCGTACAATGCTATACTTGGCCGACCTGTCATCCATGACTTGGAAGTCGTGCCATCAACTCTGCACCAAATGATGAAGTATCCAACCCCCAAGGGGGGGTGGGAACGATAAGAGGGGAGCAGAAAACCTCAAGAGAATGCTACGCGGTAGCACTAAAGCCCACCTGCAATGCAATCACCAGGGACCCCGAACTCCAGCCAGACAAATCACTTAACGAGCCCAACCGTGGAGAGCCCGTGGAGGACTTAGAGCTCGTCCCATTGCTCGGCCCGGAGAAATGCAGGAGCATCGACACAAAGCTGGGTGCCATCGAGAAAGAAGAGCTTGTCCAATTCCTCAAAAGCAATGTCGACATGTTTGCCTGGTCGCACAAAGACATGCCCGGGATCGACCCCAGCATCATGGTACATCGTTTAAATGTAGACCCTTCTGCACGACCTGTAAAACGAAAAAGACTACTTGTAAATGCTGAAAGAAGCGCTACTATTGTAGGAGAAGTCCAAAACGTTTGAAAGCTGAATATATCAAGGAAGTTAGTTACCCTACGTGGCTCTCGAACGTAGTGTTAGTCAAAAAACAAAATGGAGAATGGAGAATGTGTGCAAACTTCACTGGCTTAAACAGGTCTTGCCCGAAAGATAGTTTTCCCCTCCCTAGGATCGACCAGCTGGTGACGCAACAGCGGCAGTTTCATGGACGCCTATTCAGGCTACAATCAAATTAAAATGACCGTCCCCGACCAAGAGCATACCTCGTTCATCACCAACCAAGGGTTGTACTATTATAAGGTAATGTCATTCAGGCTAAAGGACGCTCGAGCGACCTACCATCGCATGGTCAACAGAATATTTTCGGGTCAGATAGGGCGAAACATGGAATTATATGTGGATGACATGCTCGTTAAAAGCAAAAAGGCGACCTCCCATATCGCCGACCTGACGGAGACATTTGAGGTCCTCAGAAGATACTGAATGAAACTTAATCCAGAGAAATGCACGTTCGGAGTCTCATCAGGCAAATTCTTGGGCTTCATGGTCAACCAGCGGGGAATAGAAGTGAACCAAGAAAAAATCTGAGCTGTGTTAAATATGCAACCGCCCCGAAATCTAAAGCAACTTCAGTGCCTCAATGGAAAGATCGTCATGCTGAATCAATTCGTGTCGCGATCTACGGACAAGTGCTTGTCGTTCTTCAAGGTGTTGTGAAAGAAGGATCGCTTCGAG